AAATCTTCTTATAAGTTTTTAGACCCTATAAGATTGACATAGATTAAAACATTTAAATAATTCCTAGTTTTTGATGAAGGTATGTGTGCTAGTGGATGTATTAACTGGTTAACCTTTTAAGAGGGCCATTTCATGATGACTATCAAAAATTTTGACTTAGGAATTCTTTTAAGAATGTATCCTATAGAGTACTGTTGTGAAGTTCTGAAAAAGGTTATATATACAAGTATATTCATTGAAGAATGCTTCTGGAAATAATCTAAATGCCTATCAATAGCTGTTAAATGGAAAGATATTTAAATTCACTATTAATGATAGAAATTTAAATTATAGAATAGTAAGATACACTGTTAATGGAAAAAATTCAGTTGCACAACAATATTTATATCATGATCCCATTTGTATGTGAAAAATTCGATTGCCTGTAACAATTTGGAATTGTGTTAGGCCACTGGTAACAGTAGAAATAAAAGTAGCTTATTTAAGATGGGAGTTTGGTTGTAGGCAGTCTAGGGCTGGTATGTTGGTGTTCTGGTGTTACTGGGACCCAGGCTTCTATCTTTCTGTTTTGCAATGCAAAGTAATGATTTTTATTCTCCAGGTTACCTCATGCTCCAAGATGCCCATATTAGTCTTTGAGTTCTTAGTGTAGTAAGGAAGAATAAGGAAAGACAGAAAGGCCAAAGTAGGACCTCTTCCAACTAATTTAGTCTCTTAAAGTGGCCTTCCTAGAAATCCAACATGAACACTGGTTCCTTTTGTTTCTGTGCATAAAGACCCACAGATGAGTGTGTATAAAGGAACCATGGCCCCAAAGAATCCTAGTAGTAAGGCTATAAACAATTTGGTATTTTTAATCCCCAAATGGCTGTGACATATGCTATTTCTTTCTAAGATATGTCTTACATCTCCCTAGACTGATGGCTTCTAGAAGAAAGAAACCATGTCTTATTCCTTAATTGTGTTTTTGATCCCAGCATTGCACCTCATTGGCTAGTACTTAGTCACATGACCACACATAGCTGCCAAAAAGGTAGAGAACCAGTCTTTTCTGGGTGGCAGTCAGGGTCCTGTTGTTCAGGAGGAAAGGTATAATGGATGTTGGGGGTGGATGTAGCAGTGTCTGTCACTATGTAAATATGCTTGTGTGTGATGGCACAGAACATTTCTGAAAGAATGCATGAGAGCTGTCAGCCCGTGGGCACTCCAGCAGGTAGAGTGGGATGTGGGACTGAGAATCAGAGCTGCACTTCTGCATTTTACCTTTTACCCGTCTATCCCTTGGATGTTTTTGATGAGCATGTCTTACTTTTCTAATAATAGGGGCACAAAACTAAACAAACTAACCAAAAACCTGTGGTTTATTAAGAAAAGTGTCAAGGCCTTGCAGTGCATCTTACCATCAGTAATATGCTATAGTTTAATTGCTAATATTTTTCTTGGTGACAATAAAGTAATAACTCTTTAGGAATCCATTGGGAGTGAACCTGAATTGTCCAGGTTTAGGAATGATTCTTCCGTAAGGTAGTGGGTTGGATGCATTTTGAGATTTTTCTAATGATCCCAGTATTCTGTGATTTTTGCATTTATGGGGTAAGACTGGCCTATGAAATATATTCTCAATTCTCAGGGCTCCCAGCAGCGATCATTAAGTACTTTTAACTAATGATGGGCCTGGGTGTCACTGAGAAATTACTCCTTTTTAAGTTGTACTCACAGTTGGAAGTTGTGAAAAAAATATAAAGCATAAAAATGTATTTTATTGATATTTTTCTAATAGTTCAATTTGTAAATGCATCTAACATTAGTCCTGTGGTTATACTTTCTCCGCATTTACTCTTGATTTTCTCCACAGAAACAGTACAATCGTTTTACTTAACTAGAGAAATATTTTAACAATGCATGCTCAATGGTAAATTAACTTTCTAGTTTGCATCCAGCAAGTTAGCCATAGTTAACAATACAAGTGTTAGCTTTTAGTGTCACATTTATCTCTCCAGTTTATTTTTTGTTTCTGGCTCTATAGGTAACAGTTGTTCATTGCAGAAAATATGCAAAGTGTATAAAAGAAAGAAAAAAATAAGACAAATACATAAATGTAGGCATACACATTCCCTAAATATCAATGTACAGTTCTAACATTTTGACTTTTTTCATGTTGATTTTTTTTACATCATTTGGATTATATTGTAGAGATAATTTCATGACCTTCTTTGCCACTTGATATTATCATAAGCATTTTTCTTAATCATTTATGCACTGTTTATTATAAAACCAGCATAGAATTCTGATGTGAACAGTAGAATAAAATCAGACTGGGTTCTAAACCTGACTCCAACATTAAGTATTTGCCTTATTTTGAACAAGGTAACTTCTCTGGGCCTCATTTTCTCCATCTGATAAATGACATTATCAGTTCAACTTAAATGATCTCTAAAATCCTTTGAGCTTCAACTTTTTAGGTTTTATGCAATATGTCTTTTGCAGGTCACTCATGCTGTTAAATTAGGTATGAAATTTTGCAGCCCAAATGTTCATCTCTAGTCAGGTGATCACATCTGCTGAAATCATTTGGATTACTGCTCTGGTTGATGATAATGGTGATTGGTCTACATTGGCCTCATTAATGAGTGTATAGTTAGAGTACAATGAGTGTATACTCCTGGCTCTGCAGAGTCATAAAACAGTGATTTTAGCAAAATGTCACTCATTGAATTAAGGGTGTTGATCATTCAAGTATCGATTTCCATGTTCAACTCTTAGTGCATGTTTTAAAATTAGACCAAAACAAAATTATAAATTGCTACCGAACATAAACTTTTGTAGTTCTCACAAATATTGAAAACCTCAATGTTAAATAAAAATGTCAAAGCTAGCATTTACCTTTAAATCTATATTATGTTCTTATAAATATTTATTGAGGTATGTTGTTAAATATGGTATT